TAGGCGGGCGGCTGAATCCGCCTGGGCGGAGCAAGGAGGGAGGAGGGGGGAGGAGCACACTGGCCCACGGTGCGTCAGGTGTAGCCGAGTGGCCCCGGGTGGCCGCCGGAGGTCCTGAGGCCAAGGGCTCCGGAGACACTAGGAGAGGCAGGGTTATCTGGACGAGCGGGGATGCTTCCTAAGGTCGACGGCCGCGCTGGATCCTGCCTTTCGGAGTAAGGATGATGTCACCCAGACGCCCACGGCTCTGACATGGGAGCACCGGCCTTCTGCAGACTCAGATCATTGGAGTGACATCAGCCGGGCAGCAGAGGACACCGTCCTCACCCGGGATCCCAAGGTTAGAAAACGCATTTCCGAAAACTTGAGCTGCACACTTCCTGCACTGAAAGTTTAAAAAAAAAAAAAAAAAAAAAAAGTAAGATTTCAGAACTAAACAAGTTAGCTATGCCACAGAAATGCCTCTAAAAGAGTTGCCGCATTCATTCCCTTGTTGTTGTTACAATAGATTACATTGTGTGTATGGCCTGCTAGTGCTGAATTTCTGTATTCAACAACGTGCCGTTCAACAAGTATTCGGTGTAAGTATTAGGTCTTCGGCGACGCTAAGGATGCAGCAGCGAGCAAATAAAAGGTTCTTTCCTGCATGGAGCAAGTAGCCTAATAAAGGGAGAAAGACAACAAAGCAAATGCAAGCATTCAAAGGAAATGAACTGATTCTCTTGTAATAAAAACTACATAATTTTTACATGACTCATTTCCATTGTGTGAAGAAAGCTCAGCAGAGCATTTTCCACTTCTCTGTAATTCTAATTATCTATTTCATTTCCCACTACACGTTGCTGAGCCTGAGACCTCCTTAGAATGCATATTGAAAAAAAAAAAAAGCAGATAATGAAGTCGGACTGCCTGGAAATGAGCAAATGGGCACACTTGTGCCTCCCAATCACAAAACACTTGACAAACATAACTCAGGAGAGCTATGACTATGTTTTCTTCATTTTCTGCTGGGTACTGTATATTCTAGAAGGAGCCAAACAAATTTACGTTCCACTCTATCATACCAAGCAGTGTGCATAGAAACCTAAATTACTTGGTTCCTAATTCTCTGTTTGTATGTGGGGCCTTTTTGCCTGCATGTGCAAGATTCACTGTTTCTCTGATTGCCCCTCCCCCTGTAGCATCTCCTGTGCCTCCAGGGATCCAGGAGAGCCTGCAGCATGCTCCCCTCAGACTCCTAGAGGTGTTTCTTTACTTCTAGAGTGTGTGTTCCTTCAGAAAAGGTACCATTCTTGGTCCTGTATTCTACCCAGCCACCAAGTGTCCAGAGCTCAGTGCTGACACATGGTAAGAACCTAGTAAATAATGTTATCTGAAGGTGTTGAAGACAAGCCACCCATCAAAACATGACAAGTCATCCCCTTGCTAATTTCCCTCTGAAATCCCTTTGGGAGGAGCTATTGGTCTACTACCTTCCTGCAGCAGGACAAGATTCTTTGTGGGAGGACTTACTTCTCAGAGCAGTACCTGAGATGCCCTTACTCTCTGGAGACTGGTAACTGAGAATTCTGTAAACCTAAAAAAGCAAACATCTTACTGGAGTCCCTGCACCCCCCACCATCTCTCTCTTTCTTAATAACACCCCTAGAATTTAATACTCTTTCAGATATAGACTGCTCCTGCCATTTCTTCATAAAGTTAATGTTCTTTGTCTAAAATGTATAAAAACATCATGGTTGGTCATTTTGAATTCTCCTCTTTTGTGAAGATCCTAGGAAATTAATAAAAATTCCATAAAATTTTCTTGTGAACCAGGTCTTGCATTCATTGGGCTCCTCAATCCTGAAAAGCCCACAGAAGAGATAAGTGACGTTTCATTGGGTAGGGTGGTGTTGCTACATCAGTAACTGTTGTAATTTCGCACAGGAGGAAGACACCATACTACAGGGCAGTGGAGGGTTTTTTTAATTGGGGAAAAGTGAATGGGGGAAAAGGAGGAGGGGAGAGGGGAGACCTGCCCCTGAGAATAGATGCAGAAGAAGAGAAGAGCAAGGGAGAGAGAGAGACAGAGGAGGGGGTGGAAAGGAGGGAGGAGGAGGATAGGAGGTGGGCAGGGCCCTTTTAAAAGGAATGTAATGAATATGCACAGGTGGTGCTCTTAGTGGCTGCAGCTGAGGGCATATCCTATCAGGACCCCAAGGACAGGCCAGTACAGATGCCTAAATACTAACAGTAACTCCTATTATCATTGAAATTTTAATTTACAGATTAAAATTACTGTTCAGCACATGACTGGTGGCATTGCCTTTAATCGTGTTCTTATGCCGGGCAGTGGTGGCACACGCCTTTAATCCCAGCACTTGGGTGGCAGAGGCAGGCAGATCTCTGTGAGTTTGAGGCCTGCCTGATCTACAGATGGAGTTCCAGGACAACCTCAAAAAAGAAATACAATTACTACAATAATAATAATAAAGCAACGGACACTTTATGAATTAATTTTGAAGACACAGAGAGATGATTTCCCATAGATTTTGATGTCAGTATTTTTACGAACATGTTTTTTGTTGTTGTTGTTTTGGGGGGGGGGGGTTTTTTTGGTTTTTTTTTTTTTTTTTTTTTTTTTTTTTTTTTTTTGGTTTTTCAAGACAGGGTTTCTCTGTAGGTTTGGAGACTGCCCTGGAACTTTCTTTGAAGACCAGTCAGGCCTTGAACTCACAGAGATCCACCTGCCTCTGCCTCCCGAGTGCTGGGATTAAAAGCCTGTGCCACCAACACACAGTTTATTATTGTAATAGTTCAAACATTACAATGTTACAATTCAGAGCTGGGGACATGATGGCTCTGGGGTTAAGAGAGCACACTGCTCTTAAGAGAACCTGAGTTTTGTTCCCATCACCCATGTTGAACTCTGCTCACAAATACCTGGAACTCTAGCTGCAAATAATCCACACTAGAGTCTGGAAGGCACTGCCTGCACTCACATATACATATACCCAGACACAGATACACACAGTTCAAAAATAATCTAAAAAGAAAAATTCTAGTAAGGCTAATATTAGGCTAAGGTACATAACACTCATACCTTTATTTACCAGTAATTTCTAGCTCAATGGTGATGCACACACAAATCATTCATGTGTAAACACTTCTGCTTCCCATATACAGGTAACAAACTATGGACACATGTCATCATGCTTATGGACTTCACACTGTTGTGTCTGTATATCTTACACACACACACACACACACACACACACACACACGGGGAGAGGGAGAGAAATGGGTGTGTAGGGATTACTATGGTAGCATCTTAGAATCCTCTCTACAGTAATACACTAGCCAAAAGTTTTTACAATGATCCAAAAAGAAGTTTGTGTCAAACTATACAATAATTTACTGTTTCGAGGGACCAAACTTCAAAGCTGTAGATTTTAACAGCATTGCTAGCATGGTAATACATTTTACTTAAAATAACTTTCTCCCTTCCTGGTGGTATTTGTGAACTCTGCCAACCAGCTTCCTGTGTGACCTTTCCGGAGACCTCAGCAGCCATGGCCATCTCTATTGCCAGTGGCTCCTTACAGCTCTGTCCAGCTCTGCAGAGGAAAGAACAGGACAGACTTCCCAATCTGCACCTGGTAGGAGGAGGTTGATTCACAGTCACTTCAGGCTCAAAGAGAAAGGCAGATAAGGGATAAGGAGAGAGGAGGGAGGGA